ATATGAATAAACATATTAATATTAATATTTATCCTAATGTTATATATATATATTATATATATATATATATGGGTATTGATATGCAATTAAATATATTTGTTTCTGTACATCGACACCCATACAGATATTTATACAAAATATAAAAATGTACATCTAAAAGCACAAACACATATAAACACATAAATAAATAAAAAAATAAATATATATATATATGTATATATATAAACATATATATATATATATATATATAAACATATTTGTTTCTTATATGCATTTGTATAAACTGTTTATTTGTATTTGTATGGCCTGAGTGCGCCGTCTCTTCCTTAGGCTTCTTTGAGGCCCCTTTCTCGTTGATGCATGCACAGTGCTCTCGAGTGAAAGTCTAGGGTTTAGGGTTTAGGGTTTAGGGTTTAGGGTTTGTGTTTGAGGCAGGCTTTGGAATGGCTCCACTGGGCAGTACTTAGCGACGCTCAGAGGGCATGTGGGCCCCGTTTATCAGCTGGCCTGGTCAGCAGACAGTCGATTTTTGCTTTCGGGTGAGGGTTTAGGGTTTAGGGTTTAGGGTTTAGGGTTTAGGTCCTCCCGCTCGCAAATGCTAGTATGGGCGAGCAAAAGAGACTCAACGAAAAACCCTTGCGTAGCGCTGCTGCTGCTGCTGCTACTACTACTAATGCTTCTCCTACCACTGTTGCTGCTACTGCTGCTGCTGCTGCTACTGCTGCTACTGCTGCTGCTGCAATGTTGGGTTTTGACGTGGTGCTGCTGCTGCTTTTTGCGAGGAGTTTTCTTCTGCGCTGTGCATCGCTAGGGTTTTTTTTCTCCTCTTTCTAGGGTTTAGGGTTTAGGGTTTAGGGTTTAGGGTTTTGTGCAGGTAGCGGCGACAGCACACTAAAGGTGTGGGAGGTAACCAGCCGCAAATTAAAATTTGATTTGCCCGGACACGCGGACGAAGTCTACGCGGTTGACTGGTCTCCTACAGGGACGCATGCAGCTTCGGGGTCAAAGGATAGGGTTTTAAGGGTTTGGAGGCACTGATACACCCCAGCGAAAGCCAAACCCTAAACCCTAATAATACCCTGAACAGCACCAAACCCCCTCTTTAGCCTCCCTCTTGAGGCGAGGGTTTATTTGCTTAGGGGTGCGGGGATAGGGTTTAGGGTTTTATGTTTACGGAGACGTGCAAACACAAACAAACGCCAAAACTTCTGCAATGGAGTACCATTTAGGGTTTAGGGTTTAGGGTTTAGGATTTAGAGCCTAAAAATATAGAGGGTTTAGGCTTCAGTGTTCATTGTATAGGATTCAACGTGGAGGGTCTAACGCTGTTTGGCGTCTATGGTTTAGTCATCAGAGTCTAGTGCTTTCAGCTTATTTTGTAGGGTTTACGGTTTAGGGTTTACGGTTTAGGATTCAGGATTCAGGATTTAGGGTTTAGGGTTTAGGGTTTACGAATGGCAACTGTCCGAGTTAGTATAGTGGCTAGTATTTCCGCCTGTCACGCGGAAGACCCGGGTTCAATTCCCGGACTCGGAGCATTTTAAAAATATATAAATATATATTTCCAGCTGTATTTTCAGCTAGCGAGGGTTTATAACAGTTGTTTTATTTGTTTTATTTTGCGTGTGCGCTTTATTTGCTGCTGTCTTCTATTCAATAAGCAGGAGAAGATGAAGAAGAACAAGAAAAAAAAAATAAGATAAAGAAAAGCGAGTTAGAGACGGTTCCATAGTGTAGTGGTTAGCACCCTGGACTTTGAATCCAGTAACCCGGGTTCGAGTCCCGGTGGGACCTGAAAAATAATAAATATATGAATATTGCGTACACCGGAAGTGTTTACCCTGTCTTATACCACTTGTATACTTTTGCTTGTTTTTGTTTGCTCGTTGCAACAACCGCTTTCAGCTGTATACAACGAATTAAACTGTCTACAGAGAATTACACCCTGAAACCATTTCCAATAACACTAAACTCCTTATATCTCAATAAACCCAAATCCATAAACCCTAAACCCTAAGCCCTAAACCCTAGAAATGGTTAAGCAAATAAAATTGTCCGAGTTAGTATAGTGGCTAGTATTTCCGCCTGTCACGCGGAAGACCCGGGTTCAATTCCCGGACTCGGAGCATTTTATTTAATTAATATTAATTCATTAATTAATTAATTTTTACTGATAAATAAATGGAATTATAAAAAGAAACAAATATTTATTGTGTTTATTTTATTATTTTGTTTATTTATTTTTATTTTGTTGTTCTCTCGTTCTCTTTTCTGCTTTTTTGCTGCGCCTTTGTTTACCCTCCATCGCCACTTCATTTATTTATTTATTTATTTATTTATTTATTTTTTATTTCTTTTAAACATATTTATTGTTGTATTTATCTTTTTCTTTGTATGTCCTTGAATACTCATAGATTATAATATAAGTATGTTTATAGATTATGATAGCGTTGGCTGCCTCTATATCTTATCTTTCCTCTTTATTCACTTACTCTCTTTTATTTATTTGTTTATTTATTTTTAAAATAATATATTTTTATATTTTGTTTTTAATATTTTTTGTACTGCTCCCCGGTGGCAGGGCCTACTGCATGCATCTCTGTGCATTATTATTATTGTAATTAAAAAAAATTATAGATTTGAGTTAACGAAGTCTTAATTATCTTTTGCTTTTCTTCTCTTTATTCTTTTTTTTAATAAATACATCAGCAGCTGCCTGTACACCGCAGCTGCCGCATATACACTGCACACCCCTCTTCCTGAGCCTCTCCTAGTTATGCACAGCTAGCTGCAGCTAGCTTCTATAGCTAGCTACGCCTAGCCGCCGTAGCTAGCTACGCCTAGCCTCTGTAGCTAGCGGCTATACCTATCAGCTATAGCTAGCTACAGTTAGCTAACTGCTATAGCTAGCTATGACACCTAACAAGCTAGACAGCTGCTTGCTGCAGCTAGCAATACCAGCTAGCTACCGTAGCTAGCTATCGTAGCTAGCTGCAGTAGCTAGCTATCGTAGCTAGCTGCAGTAGCTAGCTAGAAGACGGCAGTCTTATTATATTTGAAAAAGAATTGAAGTTTTATAGACAACTGCTATGCTATAAGCAGAGCCCCTCAGCCTTTAAAACTACTTTTGCTGCTGCTGCTCTCATCCCCGCTGCAGCCACAGCAAAAACAACTGCTGCTGCCGCTGCTGCTGCTGCAGCTGTTGCAGCAGCAGCAGCCGCTGCTGCTGCTGCAGCATATATAATTACGTCTAAGATGGATTGTGCATATTTACAAGGAACAGCAGAACAGCAACAAGCAAATAAACAAACAAATAAATTAACTAATTAATTAATTAATTAATTAATTTATTTATTTGTTTATTTTTGCTTGTTCTCCTGAGCAGCTTTATTCTCAGCTCTGCACAAGTCTCTCAGTGCTGCTAAATCAACGTCTGCTGGAGGCAGATGAATATAACGAACGGCGGACCCCCTAATGAAGCAGTTTCGAACTGATAGCTGCAGCACACAGCAGCAGCAGCAAAATATGCAGCAGCAAGTCTTGCAGCACATGCAAATACAGCAGCAGCAAATACATATCCAGCAGCAGCAAATACATATCCAGCAGCAGCAAATGCATATCCAGCAGCAAATGCAGCAGCAGCAGAAAATGCAGCAAAAGCAGAAGCAAATGCAACAGCAGCAACAGCAGCAGCACCAATAACAGCAGCAACAGCAACAGCAGCACCACCACCACAACAACAAAACCAACAACAGCAGCAGCAACATCAGCAGCAATAACAGCAGCAGCAACAGCAGCAGCAGCACCACCACCACCACCACCACCATCAGCATCAGCAGCAGCAGCAGCAGCAGCAGCATCAGCAGCAACAACAGCAACAACAACAGCAGCAGCAGCAGCAGCACCACCACCACCACCACCACCACCACCACCACCACCAGCATCAGCAGCAGCAGCAGCAGCATCAGCAGCATCAGGAGCAGCAGCAGGAGGAGGATAAAGAATGCGATGACTACCAGGTGCGGGCATTTATCAGGCTCTGGGATAGAAACATGTGCGAGTTTAACGTTCAGAAAGATGTCTACAGACAGCAGAACGCCCTTTATCTTCAAGTCGTTCTTTAACTCTATCACCACTTCGCTGCTTCGCTCCGCCAGCTTCTGTAAGAATGCTAAGTAAAACTGAGAATAAAACAAACAAATATATATATTTATTTATTTATATTTATATTTATATTTATATTTATATTTATATTTATATTATTTGTTTGTTTATTTTATTTATTTGTTTGCTTGTTTGTTTGCTTTAACAGATGAGATGAAGAAGTAGCTGAAAGGTGTATATATATATATATATAGTAGAATAAAATAAATAAATAAATAAATAAATAAATTAATTAATTAATTAATTAAACTAAATAAATTAAATAAATAAAAATATCTGCATTTGTTTATTTGAGCGACGCACCATGTTGTCTCCCCTTCGTCTTAAACAGTTGTCGCGTCCGCGTACGTTTGCAGCAATATGCCTGCTGCTGTTGCTGCTGCTGCTGCTGTTGCTGCTGCTGCTGCTGCTATGGATAGAGGTGCCTCAACACCAGCACCTGCTGCTGCTGCTGCTTCTTCTGCTGCTAGGCTCGTGCAGTGCTGCTGCAGGTGCACCAGCTGTTGCTGCAGCTGCTGCTGCTGCTGCACAAAGGGGTTTTGTTGGCGGTGGTGATTATACAGGCGCTGCTGCTGAGTAGCAGCAGCTGCTGCAGCAGTAGCGGCAGCTGCTGCAGCAAGAGCAGCAGCAGCAACAACTCCTGACTTCTATGCTGCAGCTGCCGCTGCGGCTGCTGCTGCTGCTGATGCTGATGGTGCTGCTGCAGCTAGACCTCAGAATCTGCTGCTGCTGCTGCTCCTACAGCAGCTTGTGTTGCAGCAGCAACGCATGTACAGCAGCAGCCGCTGCAGGATAGTGGTCCTTGGGGGCTAGTCGCTCTGCTGCAGCAGCAGCAG